GAAAGACATTTACCAGTTAGAAGGTCCAATATTCAATGTTGCTGCCCACCCGGCTACATGTTTGGTTGGTTTTGGGTTTTGGGGTTTTCTTTTTATTATTATTATTAATTTTAATGAAAATTTACAGAGACTTTGGATTTCCATTAATTCATTGTTGCACTTTTCTCCCTGCCCACCCTTCTCCCCCCAGTACACTGTTCTCTTTGAAAAGTAAAAGAAATTTGCCCCATTGTTTTACAATCCCTCCCCCTAGGTCCACTCCACTATGCATCCTTCGTTCTGGACTCTGTACATAGGGTTTTCAAAGGCCATTTATATTTTAGAAGTGGATGGTCAATCCTTCTACCTAGTCTGGTTTAATTTGGCTATTCACTGTTAGAAGACTATCTGATAGTCAAGTATGTTACCTAACAGGTAAAAACCACTTCCCTTACAGAAATAACCAAGACATTTACTGCCAACTCACTACAGGCATGTGTGACTTGTCTCTACCCTTTCCCTGCTACCTCCCCATTCCTTGCTCAATCAGCTACCCAGTCAAACCCTCCCTTCCCCAACCACCTCTCAATATGATCATCAGTCACTTCTGTAATGCCTTGCACTACACACTGCTACTGGTTTTACATGCTGTTGTCCATCTCTTGCTTAGGAGGATGTAAATCCAAATCCCAGGTGCCAACATCAGAGAAAAATTTCTGCTTGAGGCTGTACTGTAATTCCAAGGTCCGGATGGGTCTCTTCTAGATCTGATGCTGTGGTGACATTTGGCCCAAGGTCCAAAGGCCCGAGATCCCAAAGTAGATTTGAGACTGAAGATATATATCCTTTCCTGAAAGATGAGATTAAGGTAGTCAAGCTGATGCCCTTCTGTTGTTACCTGATCAAGAAGATTAGAGTAGATACTAAACATTTATTGAAAAAAATTAATGGAAAGACTGTAGTTTGAACATATGTTTTACTTTTGGACCTTTAAAAACTGTAATAACAGAAAATAAAGGGATATTTTAAAGGCATAAGAATACAAAGGCAAAGAAAGTGGGAGGGGTAACAAAAGCAACAACATTTTAGAAGCTTGAAAGTAAGATGAGACCCTTTAGTTGGCAAACAAGCACATGAAAAGTTATTCGGCATTACTAGCCATGAGAGAAAAGCAAATTAAAGCAATGAGCTATCACTACACACTTCCTTAGAATGACTAAAATGGAAAACTAGTGACAATACCAAATACTAGAGAGGATGGGCAGAAACCAAATCGCTTGTACATTGCCGGTGGTAATGTGACATGTCATTGTCACTCTGATGAACAGTGACAGTTCCTTAACAAATAAACATGCAACCACCACGTGGCCCAGCAACTACACTCTGGGAAGTCTTCCTGAAGAAACAAAAACTTGTGCTCACAAAAACTTGCACAGGCCCAGCTATTCCACCACTTGGAATGTACCCTAAGAGAATGATAACTGAGGCACAAACAAAGATTTGTACACCAGAGTTCATAGCAGTGTTATTCACCATTGCAAGAACATGGAAACAACCCAGATGTCCAACCACAATCGAATGGATTGAGAAATTATAGTACATTCTCACAGTGGAATACTACACAGCATAGAGGAACAACGATTTTGTAAATTACTACCTAACTTGGGAGGGATTGGAGAGCATTATGCTAAGTGAATTAACTCAGTCCCACAAGGACAAATACTGCAGAGGACCATTATTATAGAATGAGTATGAGGACGCATGGAGGTTGGGGGAGAGCAGAGGGGTAAGGATGAGAGGGGGAGGGGGTTGTCAATGATGTTGTTATTTTTTTGTTATTATGCCCTGACAAATTGCTTGTGATTCATGGCAACCCTATATACAATAGCTCTGAAACTAATTCTATCTTATGCAAACTTACCCTCATTATCCCAGTCATTGAATCAATTAATTTCATTGAGAGTCTTCCTCTCTTGTGCTGTCCCTCTTCCATCCCAAGCAAGATGTCCCTCTCCAAGGACCATTCCTTCCCTGCAACATCAAAGTACATCAGACAACGCTTCAAAAGCCTCCAACAAGCAGCCTGGTTTCACCCTCTCCAGGATGAATCTATTTGTTCTCCTGGCAGTCTATGATATATCCAACACTCTTCTCCAGCACCACAGTTCAAATGCATCAATTCTGTCATCCCTAGTCATTGTCCAGCTTTCTGACACATAGCAAGTAATTGCAGACCATGGTGTGAATCAGGTGCACCTTAGTCTCCAGACTGACATTATTGCACTTCAGTACTCTGATGAGTTCTCTGACAGCAGACTTTCCAAATGCAATTTGTCTCTTGAGTATTGACTGTGGAGCCAAGCAAACTAAAGCTGTTAACAATCTCAATCTCTTCTCCATCTATCATGATGCTGCCAATCAGCCCAGTGGTGAGAATCTTTGTTTTCTTGATGTTGAGTTTCAATTCATATTGAAGGCTGCAGTCCTTGACCCTCTGCAGCAAGCAATTCAGGCCCTCCCCAGTTTCAGCAAGCAAGGCTGTGTCATTTGTATAACATAGATTGTTGATGAGTCTTCCTCCAATCCTGATGCTACATTCTTCCTCATAAAGCCCTGCCTCCCTGATGATCTGTTCTGCATATAGATTGAAAGGGTATGGAGATAGGACAGACACATCCCTGGTGTACACCTTTCCCGATTTTGAACCATGCAGTGTTCTGAAAACTGCTCCTGATCCAAGTATAGGTTTTGCATAAACACAATCAAGTGTTTTGGGATTCCCATTCTTCTGGTTAGCCACAGTTTGTTGTGATCCATATAGTAAAATGCCTTTGCATAGTCAATCAAACACAAATAGACATTCCTCTGGTACTCTGCTTTCAGCCAAGATCCATCTAACATTAGCTATAATATCCCTAGTACCACAGCCTCTTCTAAACCCAGCCTGTACATCTGACAGTTCCCTGCTGATGTGCTGTTCCCGTCATTTTTTAATAATTTTCAGCAGAATCTTGCTTGCATATGATATTAATGATATTGTTCCATAATTTCCACACTCTTTCCAGCCACCTTTCTTTGGAATGGGAATAAATACAGATCTCTTCCAGTCAATTGGCCAGGTGGTTATCCTCCAGATTTCTTGGACAACTTGATGAGCGCATCCAGGGCAGTGTCTGTTCGTTAAAATATATCAATTAGTATGCCATCAATTCCTGGGGCCTTGTTTTTTGCCAACTCTTTCAGAGTAGCTTGGACTTCTTCCCTTATCACCACAGGCTCTTGCTTATACATTGCTTTCATGAAATATGCCAGCCAATTCCTTTTGGTACAGATGGGTGGGCAGGGGGGTAAAGAAAATGGGAAAGATATGGTGTGAAAAACAATGTGTAGAAACTGTGTAAATAAACCAGTATAAAATTAAATTAAAAACTTGAACAGGAATGTTTATAGGAGTTTCATCCTTACTAGCTAAAACAGGGAAACATTCCAGCTACCTCTCAAGAGGTGAATGGATAAATAAATTATGAGGTGTCCATACCATGGAATACACTCAGCAATTAAAAGGAGCAAGTCATTGATATATGGGATATCTAAATGAATCTCCAGGGAATTATGTTGAGTGAAAAAATTAGTATCAAAAGATTACATGCTGTATGACCCCATATATATTACATTCTTGAAAAGAAAAATAAGATAAATGGAAAAGAGATTAGTGATTGCAGGGGTGAGTATATAAGAACAAGATTAGGGACACCAAAGATGATAGAAATGTTATGTCTTGAGTCTATCATTGCCAATATCCTGGTTGTCATGTATATAGTTCTGTAAGATATTATTACTAGGCATAAGCAGATAAAGGGTATATGGCTCTCTCTGTGTTATTATTGTCCACAGTTGCCATCTACAATAACCTCTAAAAAAGCAGTTTAATATTTTTAAAAGAGCTTGTGAGTTATTTTTATTTCTATCTTAAAATTTCACTTGTTAGAGCCGAGAATGGGAGTTGAGTCTGTCTTCTAACTGGACACCTGGCCTCCTCTCTTCTTCTCTCCTGGCTCTCACCACCAGCTTTCCCTCCAGCTTGCTCTCCGCCCAGAACGCCTTCCACCATGTCCACCTCAGCAAGTTCCCAATTGAACAAAGGCATCAAGCAGTTGTATATGGCCTTGCCTCAGGGTGAGAAAGTCCAGGCCATGTATATCTGGATCGATGGCACAGGAGAGGGACTGCGCTGCAAGACCCAAACCCTAGATTCTGAGCCCAAGAGTATAGAAGAGTTGCCTGAGTGGAATTTTGATGACTCCAGTACTTTCCAGTCTGAAGGCTCTAACAGTGACATGTATCTCCTCCCTGCTGCCATGTTTCGGGATCCTTTCCGCAAGGACCCCAACAAGCTGGTGTTCTGTGAAGTCTTTAAGTACAGCCGAAAGCCTGCAGAGACCAATTTAAGGCACACCTGTAAACGGATAATGGACATGGTGAGCAACCAACACCCCTGGTTTGGAATGGAGCAGGAATACACCCTCATGGGGACAGATGGCCACCCCTTTGGTTGGCCTTCCAATGGTTTCCCTGGACCCCAAGGTCCCTATTACTGCGGCGTGGGAGCAGATAAAGCTTACGGCAGGGACATTGTGGAGGCTCACTACCGGGCGTGCTTATATGCCGGCATCAAGATTGGGGGGACAAATGCAGAAGTCATGCCTGCCCAGTGGGAGTTCCAGATAGGCCCCTGTGAAGGAATTGACATGGGAGATCATCTCTGGGTGGCCCGTTTCATCCTGCACCGTGTGTGTGAAGACTTTGGCGTTATAG